GAAGTACCTTTTCATGATGTTGTATACCATAAATGTCAGTCTTTTATTTAGCAATATAACACTTTTGGGAACTTTGAAATCGTTTCTTCGTAGACTATCGAAAACTTTCGACTGCTCGACCAAAAATATCAGATCACCGAGCAAGGTTCGATCGATTTATTTTGTAAAACTTCGCGCTGTATCTTCTGTTACACTATGTCTTTTGCACTATCATGGAGAAGCGCCCAAAGCAAAAAATTATCACACAGACTAGGAGGATATTCAATTCATTCTCTTCTGCTCCGCAAAAACATCAAAAAAAATGATCCTGCCCAGGCTCGAACTGGGGACCTTCTGCGTGTGAAGCAGACGTCGTAACCAACTAGACCACAAGACCTTTAATTAAACGCTTAGAAGACATTGTTTTATATGATTCTCATAATAATGTTTAACCCATTAAGAATCATAATAATCTTGAAAAATAGGATTAGGAAAGGAAGATACTACACCGTGTACTTGTGCCTCACCCAAAACACCAATTAAGTACAAGTATCTATGGATTGTTTTTTTCCCACAATCTGTTTATTGATTAACTATAGAACAATATTCAATTAAGTACAAAGCAAACGGAGCAACGGGTCTATACCCGGAGAGGTCTCCTTTGTATATAATTCCGTATTTGCAATACGCAAAAGATATTCGCAATTTGAATCAGCAACTCCTTTGGCACTTAAGTTTAAGCGTCGAATACGCATGCTGGTTATTAAATTTTGAAAACATGGCTCATCTTTCTAAAACCTACACGCAAATTACCCTATATTACGTTGAAATTTTGAGTCATGAAGGGGTTCCATGGTCTAGTTGGTTACGACATTCGCTTCACACGCGAGAGGTCTCGAGTTCGATCCTCGATGGAATCACTTTTTTAATTTTTAATTACCGTCTTTTTTGTCTTTTTGGGGAAGAACACTAATGTGGATAATACTTTTACTTCATACTCGCAATATATCGTTTTGTATTCATTCTGCAAAATCTAATTATCGTCATCCGAATCCTCCATGTTAATATTTGGGATCTCAATTTCTGAAGCGTCCCCTTCATCAAGATCGGGCTCTTCGAAAACGGTATCTTCAACCTTTTCTATTTCCGCCTTGTTCTCTTCAATCTTTACACTATCACTGCTGCAGTTGGTTCAGCGAATGTTAGTTTGGTAGAATCCAGTTAGAGAAGATGTTTTTCTTTAGCAGTAGAGGGGCCAGGAGTGACTGTACCAGATTCCTGGAGTGACTGATCGATCTTGGGCTTTTTAGAAGCTGGCTCGTCTTCGTCAAAAGCCCTTTTACTATCCTTCAACTTGTTTTACTCCTCACTCTGGCCGATATCATCATCTGACTTCTAACTCCGAGTCTTCATTCAGAAGATAGTAGGTTTTGATAACCTTGGGAAGTGGAGGGATATCGTGGGTTGTTCAAAAACATTGATAAACGGGATTATCCCATAAAGAGGGTGCTAGCAAATAGGTAAGAGGGGAAGCATTCTCTGGGATAGGGTTTAAGACAGCTTTCCACCAAGGTCTTCTGGAGTACCTGGGGGATAGCGGAATACGCAGATTGGTCTTTGGCTTTTACAGCTTCAACCATGATGAATTTGATCACCTTTATTATAGTAAGTTTGGCGGTAAGGTAACACGAGGTATCATAATCGCAAAAAGATCAAGAACAATTTGCTCTTGTTGACTCCCGGGACGCTCTCAATGAAAAGGTGACTGTGGGACAATAAATCAGAAAAGCGGAGTTGATCCCGGTCTTTTTGGCCCTTCTTTCTAGCCGCTTTCGAATGCTGGGACTGTTGTTGTTTTTGTTCTCCTTGAATATTGTCTTGTTCACGTGGTTCGACCAAAAGCAAAGCGACTTCCACAAAACGAGTAAGTAAAGAATGGTCATGAAAATGTCCCACTAAAGACAAGTACTGGTTCACACACAGGAGGACCTTCTTGATCAACAGTTCGTGAATCAAGTTAGAATCCTTATCCAAGCGTTTACCTTTCAAGAAAAGAACCAGTTCTAAAAATGCAAAAACTGTTCCTAGATATGGAACAATCGAGCCACGGTACTTTGAGGGCAATAATGTTAACAACGAAATGGTGCAATCGTAACATTGCACTAGGGTAAGTTGTATGGCATCTTTCACCGCTTGGCCACGAATTTCCCGTCTGAAAGGAACGAACTTGGTGTTGATCGAGCACAGAGCTTCCAAAAGTATGATAATCTTACCTATAGGAACAGTAACGATGTAGTCGGTATGGCAAACAAGATAGGCCTTTAGCATAGAAAAGAGTATTTCTAACCTTTCGGAAATAGCAAGCAAAGATTGTGGATCATTGATGTCTAGGTGCAATGGAGAAAATATTTCATTCTCATCCAGAGCAGCCAATTTCTGTATCAATTGGTATGTCTCATCGTCTTCTTTGAGGTTGAGGAAACTATCATAAATATTCAAGACACCCGCAATATTGCTTGTGATTCTGTTCACATCTTGCGCCCAGTGTTGTTCTGGTCCATCCTTCTCGACAACAGGCAAAACAGCTAATAAAGAGCAGGCTGCATCTCTGATAGTTTGTGGATGACAAGAAAAGTCTTTGGACGAAATGAACTCTAACAACTTGGTTTTGATTTTGTTAGCAAACGGTCTAGAGGTGGTGGGGTGATTTTGCACCAAGTCCCGCAAAGAATCCATCATCAATTCTGGGTCCACCATGATTTTGTCAAAATAAAAGGAAAAAACAGAGCTTAAATTGGGTGTTAAAACTTCTCTTGTAAGAGTTGGTTTACCTCTAATGTTCTTGCAAAGTTTGTTGATGCAATCAACCACAGACTTGAAGACTCTAGGATCAGAGGCTCTAGGAGATTCCAAAACTTTTAAAAGTTGGGAAAAGAAACTAGACCCTTCTGAGCTAAGAATTAAGCTGTTATCAATGATCACATATATAAGGTTGACTCCACACCAAACGTTGTATGGTTTAGGCGATCTGCAAAGATTGAGAGTTCTGCTAGTGAGATGCTTCAAATCAACTTTGGACACAGTGCTCAACAGGTGGCGTTGATTATGTAATGAGGACAAAATAGGAATGATGGAGCTTGGAGTATCCTCTAACTCCTTGATAATAAATGCCAAAGGTAAAGACATAGCTCTGTTTGTCTCTTTAACCTTTTTTTTTTTACTTAACTAGGAATTTTCATCTTCGAGTGCGATGCGCGCGCGATGAGTACTTACTATGTAAGATAGATACTCTAGTACATTTAATGCTTTTCTAAACAAAAGGAAGGTTATCTATAGAATCTAAGTTAGAAAACGTCAGTCAACAAATCGTTGAAACCAAATGGCTCATAAGCAGTACCTTCTCCTTCAAAGAACTTAGACATAGACTCGACCCAGTGCAATCTCAATGAGTGCAACATTGCAGAAGTGCCTTCCATGATAACCAAAATGACTACAGTCAAAACCAACCACATGGCGAAAAGGAAGACAGTCATAATCACACCAATGATACCAGTAACACCAAAGGCGTTGCTAATGGTCATTGTCCACAAGACTGTTGACAATTGAGCGTGGGCCAAAAGACAAAGCCCACAATCTTAAGTAGGACGCAGTGTGGGACACACAGTTCAAACAGAATTCAATTGTATGAATGATTTGATGAATCATAATATCGCCAAAGTTATGGTCATCATGCGCTTCTTCGTCGTCTTCCTCATTTCCATGCTCTTCTTCATCTTCTGTAATGGTTTGCGGACTCTCACTCTCTGTCAACCTCTCATAAGAGTGTTCCTTAGCAGCTCTGTCAATTTGTCTCTTCAAATAAAGCGGCTTGACAAGAATTAACCATGGAACACAAATCAACGCCACCACAACAAGATACAATTGGACAGTGGCCTGGCCATTGTACAATGGTTCAGCAACTTCACCTGGAGCCAAGAACATAGAAATTAACATGTTCAACAAACCTGGAGGTTGTTTTCCCACAGCAAACCAATTGACTGTCCATTTGTAGACGATACACAAGGACAAATATCCAAAAATGCCCTGCATAAACAACAAACCAGGAATGAAATTACCGATAATATCGATTGGGCTGTTGAAGAAAATGGCGTTAGCTAACGAAAAGAAGTACGAGTAGGTCATATGCAAGTAACCCATCAACACAGATAACTTCATCTTGTAGGAGTTGGAGAATAACAATCCATTTTCCGCACCGTGCCAAGCTGGGTCCAAACCAATTGGATACACACCAACCTTGGTGGCGTGGATAGTTTCTCCCGGTTGAAATGTCTCTGGCCATTCCCAACCAGATTTGAAAAAATCCATAGACTTAGAGAACACATCATTGTACAAAAAGCCTGTGTACATGGAGAAGAGACCCATCAACAATAAGATATAACGCCCAGAGAAAGCCATGTCGAAGATTTCATCCCTCTTCATCGCCTGGATTTTCTTTTCCTTGAGAACTAGCACCAACGCCGCCAAAAACATAATGAAACCATGTCCCAAATCACCAAACATGATAGCAAACATAAAGGGGAATGTTATGATGGTTGGCAAACCAGGGTTGATTTCTCTGTAGCTGGCAACACCGTAGGTGTCACAAATACTTTGGAAAGCGGCAGTAAACTTGTTGGTACGATGGAAAGTAGGAGGGGTCTTAGTAGTCTCTAAGATATTCACAATTGTAGGAACGGTATCGCTTGCGCTCAAAGATTTGACTTGTGAGCTCAAGTCATCAATCTCATCAGTAGGAATCCAACCTTCAGCAATCAAGGTCTTTCTAGAGTTATCGTAGTCGCAAAGGTTCATCGTCTTGTAGACAGCCTTCTCCCTCGCAATTTCTCTCCACCATTTACTCAAGTCTCTAGAAATAACAACCAACTCAGAGTTCAAAGCATTTTCAGTCTCGTCTAAAACAGTTTTGAGATCATTTAAATCAGATTGTAAGCCTTTAACTTGTTCGCTTCTCAAGTCTGAAGTTGAGTCCACTTTGTACAAATCTGCATCTAAAGATTCGGCGATCTTTTTGATTCTCTGGTAAATCAAAGAGCCGTGGGAGAAGATAATGAACGCATTCTTTTCAACATAAGAGTTTGATTTGGCGTCATATATCTTTTCAGGCAACTCCTCTGTGTAGTAGAACAAATTTCCTCTCAAAGTTCTCCACAAGATTTGTTGCAACGTGAACACCTTACGCCTATCAATGACACCTGAAAGAAACTCAGCATGAAACTCGGTTCCTCCAGTTTCTAATTCAGACAAAAGGGCATCGCTACCAATGGTATCATGACCAGGCGCAGAGTTTGCAGAAAAAAAGTTCTCCACTGCATCCACGGTGTACTTAAACTGCTTCAACTCCTTTTGCTTTTTATACAATGTCTCGCAAGAGTCCGTCAACTCGACAACCCTGGACTCCAAAAAGTTAGCTGATTCAGCATACATATCAATATCAGATTGTGGACAATTTGATGCTTGATCATATGGATAAATTTTGCTAGGGATTCCCCTCTTATCCAACTCTGCCTTTAAATAAGTGTATTGTCTTTCCACATTATCAAGCTTCCTCAATTCCTGAACAAAGGCTCTCTGGAATTCGTTGACCCCTTTGTTCAAATCTCTAAATTGAACAAGGTTAAGGGAACCAACCTTGTGGATAACATCTCTAGCAACTTCAGTCGGAACGTAAAGTTGCACCAAGGACATCTCCGCAGAGCCTAAAAGCAATGGTTAGTATGTTCTCATTCAAGAATGTAACAAAAGCAAAACATACGGAAAACGGCCTCCTGTTTCTCCGGCATTATGATAAACAGAGAAAAAGACTAATACGTGATAAGCAAATTTAGCTCGAATATTGAACGGGAACATGTCGAGAACTACATGCAGGACACACTATATTGGCCAATGCTGAATGCATTACGGGCTGATTAACATGAAGAGGAAAGACTCAGTAAGAAGTAACTTTAGCGTTGAAGGAGGATATTACCTATTTGATCTATTCTAAAAATTTGCACCCTAAGATAGAGGTTAAGAACCAGTCAAATGGTGATGAGTTTCGAGTGTTGAAGGAGAACCGAGCATAACGATTGGGTGCCGCCGAGTACCTTTCAGTTCCTTTCAAGCACCACAATGAAGTATATGAATTAGATACAATGAGGTTATTTTGGTCTTTCCGAGGCCATACGTTTGGCACTGGTAAAGTAAGGTCATGTCAAAAACGTATAATAATTACAAATCGTGTCCATTGAGAACTTTGAGTGACCTTTACGTACTCATTGAACCTAGTTGAAATTCCATGTTGTCGACTGGACGACCCATCTTCTCTTTTACGGTAATCTTCGAAATTATGTTCTGTAACATAGACTTGAGAACTCGACAAAACTATTCTGCCTCGGGCTAGTGTAAGAAATCAACCATGGAAACCAGAAGTTAGCTTATCGAGTATCTTCCTCATGCTATTTATCTGAAAAACACAGCTGCTGAGAACAGCCAAGTTCGCCTTTTGTGTTTTCTGCGGATATTTAGTCCGGTTGAAGCTAAGATGTTCCTTTAGCAAAGCAAACAAAGGAGTTGGCAGAGTGATTGCAGTTGGCGGCTCCTTTTTTCTTTCTGTTTCAAACCCCCTCTAAGGTTGACTCATTTCTCAGAAAAAAATATTACTTTATGGCCGAAAGGACTAGGTGAACGTGTACAAAGAGAGCGATAATCAAAAATGGAAGTCTGATTGTCTACCTTTTGATCTGGAGAATATGAAGGATAAAAAACGTCATCATTGCTCCCAGTAATACGAGATGATCACTCTCGTAGGTGCAAACAAAAGAACAAAATATCAAGTACCTCAAAACATTGCGTTCAAAAAGAAAACCGCAAGTCGTAACGCATTACCCTTTCTACTTAAATGTTGGAATATGTACGTAATCTTGTATCCACGGTGGTTTTAAAACATTGTAAAATGACGCGACGAATGATGCAAACAAGTTCCTATCGATTGTCCTAATATTCATTTCCAATAAAACGTACATGATAGCCACTTAGTGTATGATGGGCCAGTCGGTCTATTTAGCGTAATACATCTCAGGCGCGATTCCGGATTGTACGTCATACTGCATGTGATTGATCATTACACGATTAGCCTCAATGAATTGAGTGCATGAAATTAGACGATTCTGAACCTCCACAAATCAAAACCGAGAGATATATCCTCACACAAGACTTAGACCACTCAGCGATTTATCTAGTGCTCTAATAAGTTAATGATGTGGCCTCATGTGGACCATCTCGGACTGGTAAGAGCTGATACGCTATTGTCCTTCATATAATGTGATCGGCTAAACATCTTCTCTGTGGATGCATTCAGTTCGTCCTAGGCAACAATGGTAAGCTTATCATTAGGTTAGGTTAACGCTGCTTAGTATAAGTGTGCTAGTGAATGACTAAATCAACAGAAAATGGAAACCTGAAGGACAGAAAAGACCGATCTAAACTAGAATATTACTAAAAAAAAATGGTTAATAAGCAAGTTGTCATCTAGGCTTGTCGTCATTACCACTATCCTCTGCATATTGTCATCCAAATATGTAAATGCTTACCGTTTCGAGAAGCGATATATGTATATATATATATGATAGTATATGGGATGTAGAGTTGCCATTAACCCAAATAAATGGATTTTTTCTTGAGCAGGTTCAATAGACTGAGGGCGCCTTCGAAGGACCAGCCACATGAGGTTGCAGCCGAATTATCTCGACGCGTTCACAAGATGAGAGCACAACTTGCTATCCTTCGTGAAAGCATAGGAATGCAAAATCAGTCATTCTTTGATCGGATGCATGGACTTTTAGTGAAAGAACACGATCGCTCGCTTGAAAACTTGCGAAGAAAACATGGTTATAACATTGCAGAATCAAATCGGAAATATCAGATGGAGCTTGTTTCTCTCTACTCACTCATTTTGCAGGACCTTCGAGGATTGATAGATACAATGACTCAAAGTTTCACAGAAAACAAGCTTAGAAGCCATTTTGGCCTGAGGAAGAGCGAAATGTCTGACGGTTCCACTTGTTCTTCAAGCGGACTGAGCATCGATGACGATGCGCCTGATTCCATTCTAGACCCAATATCTTTTAGCATTTTCCAAGATCCAGTGGTGACTCCGGAAGGGATTACGTACGAGAGATCTATCCTCCTTGACTATCTTCATAAGCATCGCAATCAGGATCCTATAACAAAGCGCACTATTGCGGAAAAAGATCTTGCACCAAATTTGGCTGTGAAAGCTATTGTGACAGACTATTTGAGATCAAAACAAGTAATGCCTATTTAGCCCACTGAAGCCTAAAATTGTCAGTATATCATTAGACTAAGAGAAATAGATTCACTAGACTTTTCCCCCGTAAGCCTTCCTACCATCTGCATATGTGCAGGTACTACTGTAGTGATGAGGTCTCCATCCAAACTTTTTTCCCTCTACACTCTCGTCGCTTACCAGTACAATGAGAAATTTGGTTCTCCTCAATAGAGGGACCATCAGGCCCGAATCACAAACATACCCTGATCTTTCTCTAGCAAATAGTGTATTCGATGTTGTTTCTGACACTGTTACCTGTGTCTTGACTTCAAGTGAAAGTGAAGTCATTGAGGTGCAACAAATCATGAAGAATGGCCTGGTTTCTGTACTTGCGTCCTTTCCTAGCTCTCATCCAGATAACAAAATTTTGTCCTTCAGCCATTTCGTGGACTCGTCTGTGTTAGTATTCGTTTTTGAGAATGGTGACATTATTACTGCCACATACGACTCTATTAATCCTGATTGCGACACTACAGCCATAGAGATTGTAGGTCTGATTGACTGTGGATTACTTGCGGCATCGTGGTCCCCAGATGAAGAAACGCTCTCAATTTTAACGCGGGAGAATAATCTTCTATTGTTATCCAGACTGTTCGAGCCCATTTGCGAAAAGCACCTTGATCCAGAAGACATTAAGATTGCCGATACAAAAAACGTTTCTGTGGGATGGGGAAAGGAGGAAACCCAATTTAAAGGTAAGGGGTTTAAGGCTTTGGAGCGTGAAAGGGAGGCATTGAAACATGCTGGGTTGGATTTGAAGGAAGACTCTCAATTAAGAGATCCTACAGTTGCCGAGGCACAAAAAGGAACCCTTTCTACATTTGATGATCAGTCTGTCAAATTCAGCTGGAGAGGAGACTGTGAGTTTTTCGCGGTCATTACAAAAGAAGAAGTGCTTGTGGAGTCAACCCTGGAGGTTTATTTCCGAAGAGTGATCCGAGTGTTTACCAGAGAGGGTAATTTGGACTCTGTTTCTGAAGCTGTTGATGGTATCGAACACAATTTGTCTTGGAGACCTTCAGGATCTTTGATCGCATCGACCCAAAGATTCTTCGATGAAGAAGGGTATGAAACTCTCAACGTAGCCTTTTTTGAAAGAAACGGGTTGAGACATGGCGAGTTCGATACGCGGCTTGACCCCTCGCAAGATTCTGTCATTGATATTCAATGGTCTTCTAATAGCGATGTGCTTGCTCTCCATTTGAAGAACAGAGTTCAAATCTGGTCCACTAAGAACTATCACTGGTACTTGAAGCAGGAGTTTTATGTCAACGACAGCTCACCTTCAAATGAAGTGTCGTTCGTCAAATTCCATCCCGAAAAACCACTCCATCTCATGGTGGGCACAACCGAAGAAGGTGTTCAAATCCTTAATCTTGCTTATAGAGTTTCTTGTGGCCCTACTGTTTCTGGTCATGATATTGGAATGGTAGCTGTGATCGATGGCACTGAGGCGAAAATCACCCCCCTTGGTGTGGCTAACGTTCCGCCACCAATTGCTTTTAGGGAGTATGATTTTCCATCTTCTCTTAATGACATTGCAGTCAGTTTATCAAATAATGTCTTCGCTGCTGTGGACAGCCGGCAAAACGTTCAAGTTTGCCGTATAACTGTGGAAGAAATGAAATCCAACAAAGAACCGCTGTTTATGACCATCGCGAAATCTCTGATTGTTCAAAGTGGTGAACTGGTGAAGCAAGTTTGCTTCATTGGCAATGATCTCATCGCCATTTTGGTGGATACAAATTCCGCCTCAACTGTCATTTTGTTCGATATTGAGAATGAAATAATTGCTTCTTACGTTCCATTGGACAGAAGGGCAGTTCTTTTGAAATCGATTGCTGAATTTACGGCTGCTGTTGTGGAAGGTATTGATGGATCAGTCTGGCAAATTTCCGATGTGGGTGCCCTTCAGTTTATTACTACTTTTCCACAACTTTGCCAAGAATTTGAGGTTGTTCTGTCCGCAACAGATTCTGGTAACAGCGCTCATGCATTTGGTATATCGGTGAACGGTAAATTGTATTGTGGCGATCAACAACTTGCTACTGCAGTGACCTCTTTAAGAGTGACTGATACCCTTCTTGTGTTCACAAATGCACTTTCTTGCTTATATTTTGTGCATCTCAACAATGCCACGAATCCAGAAAGTTTCAAGTTTTTGCAAGAGAATAACAACAAAGAGGATGAAAGAATCAGACAAATGGAACGTGGATCTTTACTTGTTTCTTGTTTTCCTTCGCAATATTCTGTTGTGTTGCAAGCACCTCGTGGAAATTTGGAAACTATATGTCCTAGAATGATGGTCTTATCTGGTGTGAGAAAGTTCATTAAAGACCTCAATTATCATGATGCGTTGGTAGCATGTCGGAAACATAGGATTGACTTGGATTTATTGCATGACTACAACCCTCAATTGTTTTATGATAATGCCGAACTCTTTGTGAAGCAGATCAACAGAGTTGATTACTTGGATTTGTTCGTTTCTTGTCTTCATGACGAAGATGTGACATTGACCAAATATAAAGACACTTTGATTAGTGGGAATGAGATGCCAGAGATTGCCAAGCTTTCTTTACAAACCACAAATGCTCAAGATAAGCAGTCAACAAGAAGAATGATCATCAACAAGGAATCTCAAGAGGAATCGTCAAAAGTGAACAAAATTTGCAACACAATTATCGACGTTTTATCTACTGAGCCATATGAAAAGAAATTTTTGCAATCCCGAATCACTGCTTACGCATGCCAAAAACCGCCAAACCTTCATGGAGCATTAACCCTTATTGGTACACTTGATAACGCAGAAGAGCAAGAACAAGCTATTACTCATTTGTGTTTCCTTCTGGATGTGAATAAATTGTACAATTACGCATTGGAGTTATATGATGTCAAGTTGGCATTGAATATTGCTCAAAAATCGCAGAAAGACCCCAAGGAGTACTTGCCATTCTTACAAAATTTGCATGTCCAACCTCAATTGCGCAAACAGTTTTTGATTGATGACCACTTAAAGTTTAATTCTAAAGCTTTGGGATGGTTATTTGAGATGGGAGAAAGTGCGAAGGAGGAATTCGATGAATACGTCGTGGAACATAGTTTGTACAAGAGAGCCTTGACACTTTTCAAATATGACGACAAGAGATCGAAGGAAATTCTTGCTCTTTACGCCAACTATCTTTATGATCAAAAGAAGTACATCGAAGCTGCTATTTCTTATGAACTCCTTGGAAGTATTGAGAGTGCCATGGATAGCTATATTCTTTCTAAGAGGTGGAGAGAAGCTCTTACATTAGCTCAAAGCTTAAACAAGGAAGGGTTGGTGGACGACATTGCTACAAGATTATCTTCTGCTCTAGTTGAGGATCATCTTTACTCACAAGCTGCTGAAATTGAGTTCACATTCTTAGGCAATGTCGAAGAAGCTGTGAGATTACACTGTAAGAGCTACAATTATGAGACAGCTCTTCTTTTGGCAACAGAACAAAAAAGGCCCGAATTGAAAGAGTCTATTATTGATGTTCAATTAGGCGAGGGTTTTGGTACAGTTGCTGAACTTCTTGCTGACTGCAAAGGACAGATCAATTCTCAACTCAAGCGGTTGAGAGAATTGAGACAAAAGAAGCAAGAGGATCCGTACGCATTCTATGGCATTCCTAACGATGACTTGGATACTCCAGATAATGTTTCTATTGCTGCATCAGAAACTTCTACAACCCCATCCTTCTTTACTAGATATACCGGCAAAACCTCTGGAACGGCGAAGACTGGCGCCTCCAGAAGAACGGCTAAGAATAGAAAGAGAGAAGAAAGGAAGAAGGCGAAGGGTAGAAAGGGTACCATTTATGAAGAAGAGTATCTTATTAAGTCTGTCGGGCGTTTGGTTGAGAGATTACACCAAACACAACAGGATGCAATCCGGTTAATTGAAGGTTTGTTGAGACGGAACATGAAGCTTCAAGCTTACCAGGTGCAGAACAATTGGGTCGAATTGATAGAGTTTATCAAAGACAACATTCAAGAAATCCATAACATGAGCGAAAAGGATAGGGAAAGAATCGATGATAATGGTGAGGTATATCTAATTGATGAAATACCTGTACCCACCATTCAGGACTTCCCAAAGTTCGATATCCTAGACTACTGATGCTCTCCATACATTACATAACATTAATTAATTTATACACTTTCCAGTTTAAGCGAACACTCTTGATAAATAAGCATTTCTTTAAACCCGAGAATAGCGTTTCGTAGCCCATTGGTGATGGCCATTTTCTTACAGTTACTCAAACAGATGTGCTTTTGCAGCATGTTTAGTACTTCACCGACTCCTTCAGCTTCAATGTAAACGCCGTCCTGAAGAGTCACACGCACTTTTGCCCTTTGCTTCATCGAGTAGAGAGAGTTCTCTTGGTCAAACGTTTCCAGTTCGGGCGCGCAACTTAGAATTTGTGAACTCCACCCATTGAAACCAAATGCTTCATTTGCAAGTCTGAGAATTTCGGCTGTCGAGATGTTGGTCAAGAAAGTTTTCTTCTGCCATCGTTGTTCCCGTGCTCTAATAGTGGTTTCTAGTCTTGACTGGAACGTTCCGATTTTTGCCATGGCCCATTGCGAAAGCTGTAATGGTTCAGTAGTCTCCACTTCATCTCCAGATTCGTCGAAAAGACTCAAATCAGGAAATAGAACTGTTGTTGAGGCATCTGAATAGGTTTTGGATGGATCCTCTTCCTCATGATGATTTCGAGGTGATTCGTCTCTATTCATCATGGTGAGATGTGCGCGTAATTTACGAGTCTGATCGTGAATGTACATCAGTAGGAACACCAACAAACCAAAGGTCAAGAAACGAAAACCTCAACGGAGATTATAAATGGAGTAACACAAAATAATATACATTAAAAAAAGTTAAGAGTATCACTAACTAAATTGAATCACACCTATTATTAGGACGTCCATATCTCGCTATACAGCTCCTGTACCATTATCGCGAGAAACATAGCGTGTCTTCAATACCTTAACCCATTGAATTCAAGGCGAATAATGGATTACTTCAAAAAAAACATCCTACATTCCCTGACTAACAATACTAAACAGGAGGAAGAGGCCATTCAGACTTTAAGTAATCGCTTGGAGCATGCTACACTCTCTGCTGACCGACGGTCCGCTGTTTTGGGTTTGAAAAGCTTCAGCCGGCAATTTCGAGAATCGGTGGTGGAATATGGTCTTCGCCCGTTATTGCAAACTTTAGAAAAGGATGTGGCCAATGTTCCTACGTTAAAGGCAGTGATGGAGACATTAATTATACTTTTCATTCGTGGCGGCGAGAGCGAAGAAGAAGAAACGCTTGGCTGGATTTCCAACCAGTCACGTATCCAGAATGGTAAATACCCATCACCATTTTTCATGAAGGATATTGGCGTGGACCAATTCTCAATGTGGATTGCAGATGAAGTCATTTCATGCGATGATTATATCAAGGCTATGGTTGACACTTTGCAATCCAATCAGGATTATCATGTTCGTCTATACACATTGCAATTCTTGGAAGCGCTTGTCGCCACTAGATCTACACGGTCCAAAGAGTGTCTCATCAACATACCTCTTGCAATACCAACCATTGTATCACTTTTGAGTGATTCCAATGATCCTGTGAGAAACGAAACTATTTTGCTTCTTATGGCTTTGGTCAATGACAACTTTAACATTCAAAAACTAGTTGCTTTCGAAAACACTTTTGACCGCCTTTTTGAGATAATTGATGAGGAAGGTGGGATTCGAGGCTCGATTTTGGTACAAGACTGTCTCACTTTAGTCACTAACCTATTGACATACAACGCCTCCAACCAAAAATTCTTTCTCGAAACTGACTGTGTTCCCAAATTAGCAAAACTTCTTGCTGAGCCTATTGAAAGCTCTCTGGATGAAGATGAATTAGCATCCATGCCTGCTGCTCCAATTGTGTGGACTGATCAAAGATTACAGAATATGGCAATCGCATTAGAAATTTGCAAATCCTTTGTGGATGAGGATAATATCTCGAGAGAGCAGAACCAAAATAGACTCCATCAAGCAGGTATTTTCTTTAGCGTGTTGAGACTAACTTTTTCCCCAGTTACAGAATCCCCGATCCGGAAAACCGCACTAGAAGTAACAGGCGACTTAATTGCTGGTAATAATGACCTTCAACTAGAATTTTCTCGCATTGATGTTCCCTACATCGACCCTTCTTTGCCTACTCAAGTCCAGAGATACGACAAATTCATTCCTGCGCCACTTGCATTACTCAATTGGTGTCTATTGAGCAATTCAGTACACATTTTTGATATTCGGCTAGCATCTGCTTACTGTCTTCGCAGCTTGTTCATGGAAAACTCTGAGGCTAAAATCGCCTTCGTTACTGATCAAATTAAAGCAAGCCACAACCCTAACTTCTACTATGAACTTGCTAAAGATGGTGAAGGAATTGAGTCACCGGAAAAGAATGAAAACATTGCATCGACCCCATACGCAAATATTTTCACTACATTGATGAGCTTTGACTTTGAGGCTAAATTAAATCCATATCGCATTTGGTTTGCCTCTGTCATCTTAATCTATCTCTTTGAAGATTGCCCAGAAAATCGGGAGTCTGCTCGTAAATTGCGAGTTGGAAACTCAGATGAGGGCGAGGAAGTGATGATATCGATTCAAGCAATTTCGGAAATTTTGACGACCTCATTGGAGTACAGCGATCCTCGTATAGCTGTTGGTCTTCTTCTCCTATTGACCATTTGGCTCTTCGAGACTTCGAAGCTGTCAATGATTTTTCTTAGTGATTTAACAATAATTAAATCATTACTTAGGGTTTCTTTCAAAAAATTCAACAGAATCCTCAGGTTTGGTTCATGGGATGACGGCAATCTTGGTGGGAATAGTGTACGAGTTTTCCAGGAAATCATCACCTATCCCAAGATCAGATTTATATTCCCTAGTTACAAAATCTCTTGGGGCAGATAATTATGCTTTGAAAGTGAAACAATTTCGTGATTGCGAAGAGTTTAAGTCGTTCACGGACCCTTTGCAATCCAATTTTGAGAAAGATTCTACGGGTCTTCCAAAAGTATTTTTCATAGAGAATTACTTAGAATTGGTCAAAGACAATTTCCACAGAATAAGAAAGGCATTATCTCATGATCCATTAGTTGAACCACAACTTAGAGTTTCATATGAAGCTTTTGAGGAAATGCAGAATAAACTCGCACAGCTAACACACGAATTGAAGGAGGTTAATGAGAAGTCCGCAGCTAATGAGAAATATCTCAAGCAGAAGATTTTAGACGCTGAAGAAGAATTGAATACTTCAAGAATGCTGATTGAAAAATCGACCTCTCAACTTGATCAGCTTCGAGAGCTGGAGTCTATTCTCACAGAGAAAATAGAAAAACTAGCATCTGACTTAAAGCTAGTGGAGGAAGAAAGAGAAAGTTTTGAGGACAATTATATCAAATGTGCAGAGCAATTAGACGAAGTACGAAAACTGAACGTTTCTGACAAAGAATTGATAAGTGAATTGACTCAAAAGTTGGAGTCACTGGAAGCTGAGAAAAAAAGGGCTGAAGAGGGTATTAACAAAATGAGCAGAGAACTTTTCTTACTTACAAAGCAGAAGAAGGAATCAAGCTCTACGATTTCGATTTTGGAGAAGAGACTTGAGTCGATCCAGGCAAGCAAAGAGAAGTTGGAAGATAATTATAGAATCCAATTTGAAGCTCTCAAGAAGACAACAGAAAATTACAAGGCTAAAGTGCAGATTATTGAAGGTCAATTAAAAGAGTTGTCGAATGATCGGGACAGAAAGGCTTTCAAAATTCGAGAATCTCAAGAAAGGCTTTCTGAAGCAGAATCGAATAATATAAGCCTCATGGAGAAGCTTCGTACTGCAGCTGTGCTTGTTCAAAATCTTCGAAGAGCAAATCCTGATATTAAAGAGGACAAAACAGTAATACAATCATCTATATTGCAATCACAGGAGGAATTTAAAACTGTTCGTGTTCTTGAAGAAGAAATCACTCAACAACGCGAGAAAATCCATGAATTAGAGTTCCTTATTCAGCAAACGAAAGATTCAGCAGCTAGGGAGGAAACTAATTTGAGAAATGAGATATCGGCTCTCTCTGACGAGCGGGCAAATCAAACAGAGAAAGAGCGGCGTCTCAGCGATGAACTTAATAAGGCAATAATGTCTCTCGCAGAAGCTGAAGAAAACTTCCACAGGGAGAAAATTTCTTTGCAGGAAGAAGTACAAACTCTTGGATTAGAGAAGGACCAGTTGCAAGAGAAAATGAAAAAATCCGAGGCTGAGCATGAATTGGAAAAGAAGCGATTGCAAGATGCGATGAAGACACTCAAAGAGGACATGCTGCAAAAAGAAAAACTTTTGAGAGAAGAATTACTCTCGAAATCAAAAGAGTTTGATGGTCTAAAGCGCGAGCTTAATAACCAATTGGAGGTTTCATCATCATTGAAGAGACAACTTGAACGACAAATTAAGAAATATGATGAATTTAGCATTAAGGCAACATCAGAGAGGGATTCTCTAGTTGAGAAGAACCGCGCATTATTGGCAGATGTGGAATCTCTTCAAGAGGAATTCAAGCGTTCTTTATCAAATTCGAAGGACACTATTCGACAGCTCGAAGAACAGGTGCGAAGATTGTCAGAAGAAAATGAACTGTCAGCTTCGTCTAAGGTGATTATCGAAAAGCACGAAGAAATGGAACTACAACTACAGCAACAAATTCGAGCTAAAGACGCCGAGATCAACAGACTCGAGGAGACTATCCAAAAGGCCATAGCTGAGCAGGAGACCACAGTGTCTCAATTTGAAACACGAATTACTGATTTAACTGAATCCAATTCAAAGGAAGTGGAAAACTTGAAAATTGAGATAGAAAAGATTACATCAGAAAGAGAGACCTTAATGGAACAATTATCCAAATCTAAAGAGATTGGAAAGAATGTTTTCTTGACGGAAAAGCAAGAGTTTCTCAAACAACTCGAGGCAGAACAGAACAAATTAAGCATTGTGCTTAACGAAAAACAGGCAGCCCGTGAATTAATCGAACGTTATGAACATACAATCACTGAGAATCAGAAGCAGATTGCTGAACAAACTTTGCTTCTTGATGAAAAGGACAAAGAGATCAGGGATCAGGTCGAAAAACTGAAGCACGACGAGGAACTATTTTTCGCAGAAAAAAGTGCCCTAAATATTCGAATTGCTGAGCTAAATGATCAGAAAGTTTCGTTGGAAACAAAAATGATAGAAACAAAGGAACTGAAAGCAGATTTAGATGAACAAATTCGAAACATAGCCACAGCTAAGACAGAATTGGAGAGAGACTTGCAGCGCTCCTGGACAGATATACTGCAATTGGAGGCAGAAATGAAACTTAAAGATGAACACATTGAAGAGCTAAAATCCATTATTGACAGCGAAAAGGAAAAGAAACAAAAGGAAATGATTGCTCTGAAAATTGAAGCAACGGGCAATGATGGAGCTACCAGGGATGCTTTGACAAAAGAGATCACAAATAAGATTAATGAACTTGTTGCCAAAGATAAACTCATATTTGAGATTGAAAAGAAGTTAGAGGAGTCTACCATCGCTTTAGAAGACTTGACAGGTCAAAACGATCTGTTGAAGCTCCAGAAAAATAAATTGGAAATTGATTTGAAGAACACCCAGAAAGAATTAAAACAATTAACAAAGCAATTATCGCGGCTAGAGAAAGAACTTGAATGGAGGAGAAAAATAGAACCTAATGATCCTGAAAACAACTTTTCAGTCTATAAGATCCAGATATCAGAGTTGGAGTCCTCTCTCGAGAAAACTGAAGATACTTATCGAAATGAGATGGAAAAACTTCAAGAATCCTATACATCAAAAGTGTCTGAATTGCAGTCCGAATCGAACAAGTTCAAGAATGAGTGCGCCCAACTTGCGGAAGATATTGCTTCATTAGAAACTAAAAATCAAGAACTAAAAAATGAATGCAGAAAAATGGCGACTGAACGTAAAGCTCATGATGTTGGGCAAAATGACAAGGGATCCCAATACAGCGACAGAGACAGTGAAATCAAGGGACTTCAATCAGAAATTGAGACATTAAACTCGACTGTTGCATCATTAAGGGTGGAACTCCACGCGAGAGAGGAAGAATATCGAATGGCAAAGAATGAGTTGCAAGGAGTTGAGGCACAACTTAGTGAACTTTCTTTGGACCATCCTATACACAAGAAAATGCCAGATGCATCACAACGAGAAGGCGACTCGATGCTACCATCATTGTGGCCAAAATCGAAAGAGGAAGTTCTTTCGTTGCAAGACGACCATGGAGTGCTTGATTTAGATTCCGTTTCCAAAGACAAGACACAGGCTGAAATAAGCTCACTCAACGACAAAGAGTCGAACTTGGAACATGAAACTGACATGTATGAGGAGTTGCGTAAAAAGATTAAGGAGCTTGAACTGAGGGAGCACTGTTTGGATGATCAGGTCAAAATGAAAGAAGAACAAATTGCTAAGTTCAAGGTTGAAAATGACATACTAAAAGAAGAACTATCAGAAGAGGTGGAGAATAAATGCAAAAGCTCGGAATTAGAACGACAAGTTGAAATATTGAAATCAGAGATAGCGATGCGAGAAGAGAGGATCCAAGGCCTTAAATCCCAAGTTAATAGAAGTACGGAGACCATTTCAGAACGTGAGAATCACATAACTGCAACAGGCAATACTGATGAAAACCAGTTGAAACTTCTTCAAGTTGAATGCGAAGATTTGAAGGAGGAATTGAAATATAAGTCAGAGATTGTGACTTTGATAGAGAAGGAAAAGAGCGAAGTTGAAAGACAATTGAAAGAGCTACAACAAGTTTTGAGTACTAAGGACGATACGAAACGCACAGAAGCTCTTGCAAATGAAGACAATAAGGAAAACGGGCAGTCAATGATCCCTGAACAAGTCACAAAACTTAAAAGTGAAGTGGAAGAGCTTCATGAGAAACTTGAGCGAGAACATGAATTACGTTCTCAAGCCGAATCTGAATTGGAGACATTAAGAATAGAGAGGAGGAAAGAGAAAGAGGCTATTGCAAGAGAAGAAGAACTGAAAAAGAAGGTCGAGGCTGATTTTGAAGACATGATGCTTATGTGGGAAGAACAGGAGAAGAAAATCGAACTTTTCAAACAAAGATTGAGAGACTGTGGGCCAAGAAGTTTCCAGCGACGAGGAGTAGGAAAAACATTGCGAACAAAATATAAATAGTAGATTTTTATATATTCCCGTGATTATGATGTACGTGAACTTTAATAAAATGGATTGTTCTTAGCCGAGGGAGAGAAACGTTTCGATTCTGTATGGTCTAAACTTTGCACGAGCGTGCGGCGTTAACGCTCAATGTAAAGCTTGGCGAGCTAAAAAAAAAAAAAAAAGGACCCTCTGACATGATTCTTCTTATCGATTCGTATGACTCCTTCTCCCATAACCTAAAAAGATTAGTGGAAGAAAACACGAAAAAGCCCGTGGTCACAATTTTCAATGACACGTTTTCTGCTGGAGAATACGAGCAAGCCTTTGACAGTTGGATTCAGTTCTTCGACTACATAATCGTGGGTCCAGGTCCAGGACATCCCAATAATGACGCCGATATAGGAATTATCAAGTGGCTCTACGAGAAGTATGACGCAGATCCTTCTCGTTGTATCCCCACCTTGGGCGTTTGTCTCGGCTTTCAGAGTCTATGCAGTGTTTTTGGTAATGATGTGGTGAGACTCGATACCGTCAAACATGGACAGGTGTACCATATCGCACCCAAATCCTCTGACTTATTTGGTACGCTGAAAGAGGAATTGTTGCCTTTTCCAAGTGTTAGGTATCATTCGTTGCATGTTAACCTTTCATCGTTGAACGAAAAGATCATCGCCCTCGCGACTTGCGATGAGCCCAATAGTTTTCCCGACACCGTGTTAATGGCCGGAAAGCACGCGGAACTTCCATTATATGGTGTTCAATACCATCCCGAGTCAATTTGTTCTGAAAAGGGCGACACGCTTATCAAGAATTTCGATTCCATCGCCTCAACATACAATAGTCAGTACAGACCGGATTTGGCCCAGTTACAGCATGCTGCCGACTTAAAGGCCATCAACGAAAAAAATACAATACGCCATGCTGTACACGAGAAATGTCTTATCAAGGAATTTAACGACAACTCCTCGATCAATGTTCAAGTTGAAAAATTCAAATTGAAGGAGAACACTCGTCCGATAGACGTCTGTGATTTTCTAAAAAGAAATGGGACTGACTTTTTTTTCTTAAACTCCGCTTCTGAGCCAGGCAGCTGGTCAGTAATAGGATTACCAGTGGTCGATTATAGTGAAGTGATTACCCATTCTGTGGATGATCCCACTACTGTAATTCTTCTGAAGTTCAAAAGCGAAGACAAACCTGTCACACAACAAGTTACATCGGTATGGGAATTCGTCGCTTCTCGGATGAAAGAGAAATATTGTTCCAGAGAATCGATCGAGGAACGAACCGGAAAGATCCACGCACGGCCTCTTCCATTTTTCGGTGGTTATCTCGGAATTTTTTCTTACGAGGAAGGTAGACATGTGGATATTAAAAAGTTGGGCTCATTTTGTGATGGCCCTACACCCGATACGAAACTTGTTTTCATTGACAGAGCCATTTTGCATGACCGGATAACGAATGACTGGTTTATCCTCTCTATCCACAGAGCCCCAGGTGAAGACCGGTGGTGTAAAGATCTAGTCAATCGCTTGCAAAAAACGGAAGATTTGCATATCGATTTGCAGTCGGTTCCCAAAAGTGTGAATCTTTTATACAAAGATGAAGAAAGCTCCATAAGATACGAATTTCCTGACCAGGATGTGTATGAAGACCAATTCCACCGTTGTCAAGATTACCTTCACTCAGGAGATTCGTATGAGCTTTGTCTTACCACGCAACTGAAGCTTTTCCTTCCGAAATATTTGGATACTTGGGACATCTATAAAGTGTTAGCCCTCCGAAAGAACCCGTCCCCCTACTCTTGTTTCATGGAGTTTGACGACTGCGTTTTGATTTCGTCATCTCCAGAAAGGTTTATGTCTTGGGTTGATGATGAAAAAATCCCGGGAAGTAAGGTGGTCGAATTAAGACCAATCAAGGGAACGGTAAGAAACACTAGCGATGTCACCTTGGAAGATGCTACGAAGATTCTTCGCACGCCGAAGGAAATGGGCGAAAACCTAATGATTGTTGATCTCATTCGCCATGACCTCAACTCCTTCATTGATGATGTTCTGGTGAGTTCACTAATGGTTGTTGAAGAGTATCAAACTGTTTATCAACTAGTGAGTGTTATTAGGGGGCATTTGATGCCTGACAATCAATTCACAGGCATAGATGTTTTGCACCTGTCGTTGCCTCCAGGTTCAATGACAGGAGCTCCCAAAAAACGGTCAATCGAGCTTTTGCAGGATATTGAAGCGATGCAGAATACCATTGTCGAAGGTGGAAGAAGAGGCATTTACAGCGGCATTGCTGGCTACTGGTCTATCACTGATGATTCCGACTGGTCAGTAATCATTCGGTCAATCATGCATTATAAGAACGATACAGAAAACAATGGATCAACGAACGTATGGCGAATTGGTGCAGGTGGGGCTATTACTGTGTTGAGTGACCCCAAGGATGAGTGGGAAGAAATGCAAATCAAGCTTTCAAGCACTCTTCAAACATTTATGTAAATTCGAACAGTGGCATAATCAAATTCATTCTTATGTCAACATGCCCTTATGAAATCGAATAAGCAAGATAGAAGTACATAGCCACTATTTATATAATTATGCATATTTATTCATGAAACACAAAACAGATAATAATTCGACTCGAGTAGACAATTCTATAGCTGAGGCGTGCACATCTTTAAAGAAAAAAAAAAAAACAAAAAAACTAAAAACTTTAACTTGAAAAAGGGAAGCACAATCACCCCAGTTTATCAGCGATATAATTTCGAAGAATTTCAATCTTTTTTGGCTGTAATGGGTTTGCTCAAAATGTATCTGATCTGCCTGAATACGTGAGACAATCGCATTTTGGCTGAACCAACCAGCCCAAAAAGGGACCGCGAATTTCCACGATCTTGTCTTAGCTAGTTACTCAATGAGAGAACACAAAATAGACTGGTAAAAATCAACAACAAACATCAATGGCAACTGAACGGACATACACGAAAGTGCTCCAATATAAATCTGTGCAATTTGGAATCGTTTTCCACCGGATGTTCTGTAGCTGTACTGTAACTTTGAAGTGCAGACAAGGTCGTGCATTACACGAAAAAATGTCGACGCAAAGTAAAAACGGATTTCCCTCACCACAACTACTACATCACCGTCGAAAAGATTGAATACAAAATGTCGTTTTTTGGATTTGATGCCTCTGGGGCCCAGTTCCAAGGCTCTAAATCCGACGGGAAAGCGTATGATTTTCAAGACACCTATGAGGGCTTGGGCGAACTCGAAGAAGATGACACTTTGAACGACCAAACTTTTGGTGTGAGCGCTGTCGGCAAAGATTTCGATTTTTCGGGCACTTTCAACGCGGCTGGCTCTAAGCCGCAAGCTGAAGTCAGGCCTCAGGTTTCTTATGCTCGTGCAGCTGCTAACGACGATGAATTCATGAAGGACTTGTGGGGCGTCAATCCTCCACAAAAGAAGCCAGAGCAGGCTGCGCACGAAGAGAAGAAGGTGTTGAGTCTTCAGGAGATAGAGGCGCAGTTGACGGCCATTGACAACAGCCAACCCCAAGGACAGATGCCTGTTCCACCTCAACAGCAGTTTTATCCTGGGTACCCTGCTCCTCAGTTTCCTGGCTACATGATGCCTCAAGGTTTTATGCCTCCACCGGGACAATACGGCATGCCTTACCCAGGCCAATTCATGCCTATGCAAGCACCAATTGGCCCCAATGGCATGACTCCTCAAGGAATGCCTCCTATGCCTATGCCGCATCAAGTGCCTCCTCATCCTCAGCAAATGCCAGCACAGCAGATGCCACCACCTCCTCAACAACAGCAACAGCAACAGCAGCAGCAGCAACAGCAACAGCCACAACAACCACAGCACTCTGTTTCGGCTCCTGTGGCTGACCAACGCCAATCTCCGCTCAAGCAACCTGTTGCAACAGCCCCACCTACTCATTTGGTGGCTGAATCCCCAACATCAGCAGCTTCGGCAAAAGTTAATTTGTCTCAGTTCCCAGTTTTAGGATCTAAGGGTCAACGCTTGGACTCTCCTAAGGAAGCGCACGTTGCTGAGCAAAAACTGCCCAGAGAGAACCAAGGATTTTCTCACAATCGTCATCACATCCTGCTCGAGGAATTGTCTCCAGAAGAGCAAGCCAAGATGGCCAGACGCCAAGAGAAAGTGTCTAGAATCATGAGATACTCAGGTGTGATGAACCCTAAAGATAAGGACTTTGTGACGAGATTCCAACTCTCGCAGATTGTTACAGATGACCCTTACAACGAGGACTTCTACGCTCAAGTGTACAAGGTTATTCATCCAAAGGTACCACAGAATGCAGTGGGAGCTCCTCCTGTGCAACAAGCCAACTCGATTGCACAAGCCTACTTGGATCAAAGTGGCCATAGGTTGGGTGGTCGGTTCAGAAGAGCAGATGTGGCCTTGCAGAGAATGCAACAGCAAGTGCAAAAGGCTGTTTCTGTGGCAAAAGAGAGACAAAAATTGCCACAACATGTACGAGAAGGTGTCTTGGGTAAGATTTCCGTTGGGTCGGGTAAAAAGCCAAGACAACAATTGGTGATTTTGAGTAAGGCTGCTCAAAAGGCCAAGGAAAGTGAAGACTCAGAAGAAGGCTTGGTGCCACAAAGTAAGAAAAACAGATCTCCTTCAATTGCCGCTCCTTCGAAGCCTATTAAGAAGTACACCAAAAAAGACATTATGTGCATTTTGGAAGATGCCATCAACAACTTGATGGCTGTTGAGAGCGAATCTCGCTTGTCTCCGGATGTCGATACCACAAAGTTGTGGGAATCTCTTCATATTTTGGACCAGGCGTCCTCTTCTGGAGATGACGAGTCATTTGTCAATCCTTTTATCCAATGCCTCAATTATTCGAAAAGTTTGAAGATTCTTCCACGTTTGTTCAAGTTCTTGACCAGGGAACAGATCTTGACCATTGTCACATTAATCATGTCCAATTTAGAGAACTTGACCGTGATAAAGAACGGCTCTTATACTACCTACGCGAACAAAAGAGTCCCCGAGAACATTTTAAAGTTGGTTGATACGTACTCTTTGACCTTATGCAAGGTATTGATGAATGCAGTTCAAGACTTCAAATTCAATGAAATCATTGGCTTAATTTTGATTTTGATCCAGCATAATGTTGTTTCCTTTGTTTCTACGACGAAGATTGGTTTATCCATTTTGACAACTCTTTTGTCGAGAGCAGAACTTATGAGAGGCGAAGGTTCTATTTCTGCAACCGATTTATCTGAGTGGACTTCCTGTTACGACGAGTTATTTACTGCCTTGGAATCTCGCCTTGCAGCCATTTTCCCTCCTGGTCTTGGGGATGCCGAGGACGACTACGTATGGCAATTTTTGGCCACCTTGTCTCTAGGTGGTAAATTGAGCCATCAAAGAATCATTGTCGACGAAGTAAGAGACGAAATTTTCGGAGTCATGAGCAGAGCTAAAGCTATTGACAATTCGGATATGGCCAACTTGTACAAGAAACAGAGTATGTTGAACAACTTGAACATGTACTTGGTGGTGATGGGATTGGTCGCTGATGAAAATGAGATTCAAGAGTTGAAAACTTAAGATCTGGAATTCAAAAATCGTTGACGTGCAGACAAAACGCTATTGTGAAAACTGTACTTGCAAACACTCAAGAACATAAAAATAATAAAGAAATAGGTAGTTGCTTCATTCTTAAATGTCGATTACATCTACTTGCTGTATGTCTGCTGTGTAATCTATCGTGTATGAACTACTTGGAGCGATCATGCATCTATGCATTTACACGCACTATATGATACTTTAATTACCACTTTCGTGGATTAGACATCAACCGAATTGATTGAATTTTACAGTTTCTCTAGTGAAGATTCAGGAAATATACTTAAGTATTACTTTAGTAGTACTCCAAGCGTTCCAGTCTTTTGTTTGTTCACATTTTTGGCGCTTCCCGTCAAATCCATCAGACGTAGTGAACCTGCAGTACTGATTGTGCTAACCACCAGGGTAGCTTGATTCAGTCAGATGCTTGAGTGAAGAAATCACCGAACCGCAAGAAGCACATACATACTCTAATTGCTAAAGGTCTGCTCACAACCTGCAATTTGTCTTTGCTTTCTTCCCGTTTCCACCATTCTTTTGTCTCTGCCTAATCTTCCGTGGCATCTGGCGATGGCTTCAACTACATCATTGGCCGAAACACCCCAGATGCTCACACAACAAGGCGGAATGGACAACCTGACTTTTACCCATGGGTATGTTCACGGCCATGTACATCGCCACAACGACTTTATGCATATTCATGGGCATATTCACAACCACGACCACACCAACCAGCTAAGTTCTGCGGATTCGAAACCAGCAGGAGAATCCTCTGCCGAATGCCACGAGTTTGATGAAATATGCAGAGATATATTTTGCGAAGATTTGGATGACTGCTATTTCGAAGATTGTATCTCTCAATGTCACGAAGCATCATGTGCTGACGATAGTTGCATTGCTCGTTGTGAAGATGTGAGTGCTGACTGTTGCGAAGACGCGAGCGCCGACTGTTGCAACGACCCACAGTGTCTCGAGTCTGGTTCTATTGATTGTTCTGCCGAATGTTCAGCGCTAAGAGAACATGAGAACAGTTTGTGTGAATCTCAAAAGTCCAACATGGAGCTTTTCGAGAATCTTTTACAGAATGTGCAGAAAAATGTTGAGCAGCTGTTTCAAGATAAGGATCAGGGCATTTTCCAACAAAAGAATCATACTGACTACGGAAATATCCAACTGATGGAAATACTGGAGCCCGATGCCAAGAAACGAAAAGTAACAGACCAAAAGCTTGAGATACATTTTCCACATCCATGTCATTCAGCACCAGCGAGCGAAGGGAATGAGCTTTCTTCAAAGACTTCCCTGGAGACTTGGCCTATCCAGACTAGCAAGCACCACACACATCAAACATGCTTCCATGCCAAAGTACCTAGTTCCACTGTAGACCAGACGGCGCATGATCTTGACACGGAAACATCTAAGCAACTCAAATCCGACTTTGACTTCTTTATCCAGTTTGACAACTTCAACCCACTTAATCTCAACAATCAAGATTTTTCAGCTCAACCCTTTTTCAATAACCATTTTGAAGACCCCGGCGCATCAGCTACCTACCCTTGTCAATGGGAAAAATGCCAGACAAAGGTGGACGATTCACATTTAGTGCAACACTTGGTGAATGCTCACATTAAGGACGAGTACGGTCTTTCCAGTGGAAACTCTTTAGGACAGCCCCCTTTTGAATGCGAATGGAGCAATTGTAACTTTGTCGATGAAGACTATTCTGCATTCTTGGGCCATTTGAATACACATAAATGTGATCCTCCTAGGGTCGAGCTCAAAGACAGTATCATGCCTACCGACAAGGATGTTTCAGCATTACTAACACCGAACTCAGCTTCTGAACTTACCGACTCTCCTAAGAAGGAAGTGAACGAGACCCTGCTAAATGGGTTAAACATCACATCCATGAAAATATGCTCGAAATCAAATTCGTCAGATGAACTTACAGATCCGAATTTTACGTGCAAGTGGGCCGTGGCAACTGATGAGACCGGCTTTCCTATAGTATGCGGAAAGACCCACAAGAGCGAAGGCGAACTACAGCACCATCTTCAAGATGATCACATTGGACTGGGAAGATCAGTGTATCATTGTTGTTGGGTAGGGTGCGAGCGCCACCAAGGAAAACCATTCATCCAAAGGCAGAAACTCTATCGACATATTCACATCCACACGCATTACAAGCCTTGCAAATGTTCCGTTTGTGGGGCCTGTTTTGCTGTCGAAGCAATTCTCAAGCAACACATGCGTATTCATTCAGGCGAAAAACCGTTCGTGTGTGACACTTGCGGAAAACGGTTCTCGACGAGCTCCTCTCTTTCCATACATAATAGGGTCCATTCAGGTGAAAAACCTCTACAATGCACCTGGCCAGGGTGCAAAAAGCGATTTAGCGAGAGCTCGAACTTGGCAAAACATTTGCGCTTGCACATGAAAAAATTCACATGTGAAACTTGTGGCGAGGTATTTGACAAGCGGACCGAATATACAAAGCATAAAAAGCTTCACTGAAAACATCGTTTCGAAACATTAATTGAAGTTGGGAGTATCTAGTCACATATAGTCAATATGCAGGATAGTTGATTTTTTTTCCGCTCTTCAATGTAAAACTCATATTATCGTAATACTCAAGAAAGATACCCATGAAGCCGTGCCTTCTGCTTTTGAAATCTGTACGGGTGCCCACACCGGCTGCGATAAAGCTTCCCTTTCAACCTCCTGCTTTATCTTCTATTTCTGTTGCGGAACTTCCAAATAATACATTTGAGCAGAACAACCTATACTATATAAAGAAGACTGCTTACGGACATTGGCCAGTGTACAAAAAGATTCAAAATACCAGAATCAGTACTGAGATCAAGCGAGTTCAGGGTGATGTCTCTGTTTTTGCAGAGGAGTTGTTGAGTCTTCTTCAAAATGATGCTATTAAGAAGGATCACGTTCGAGTGAACACCAAAACGGGCGAGGTCAACATCAAGGGCGACTACACAGAGCAAATCAAGAGTATTCTTGATACTCACGTCAAGCTCTAACTCTAGAAACTAGCACTTGTATATATTTCAAAGAATGGGCAAGATCCACCGGGTCAATAAAAGAATATCTAGAGAATTGTCGTAGACACATGACTATTGCATTTCGAGGTTCGACTCAGAAATAGGCGTGTTTCCGCTATCGGACGAGCCAAACGCAGCTTGCCTGATTTGTACGATCCAGGGATCATTCAAAAGTTCGGCAGCACTTGGCCGTTTGGATGGGTCATGTTCCAAACATCTCGACAAAAACTGTCTTCCTGTCTCACTGAGTTGATCATGAGATGGTAATTGTGGCTTGTGGCCGGCTGCAATGTGATACATAATTGCCCACTCGTTGTCTAAGTTTGCCCATGGCCGTCTTCCAGTAGCCATTTCTAACACGCAACATCCAAGAGACCAGATATCAACCACCCCACTTTGCGAAGAGCCTTGTCCAGTAATAACTTCAGGGGACATGTACATGGGCGTACCTGTCATAGAGTTCAAATTCTCCTGACTTCTAGCACCTCTGGAGTGATGGCCAATATTTCTGGTTTTGCCCGACGCAGCTATCACCTTGGCAGCTCCAAAATCAACAAATTTGATGACACCATTGTGATCCAAAAGAATGTTTTCAGGCTTAATGTCACGATGAACAACACCTGATTGGTGCAAATAGGCCAAACCTTCTAGCATCTGAAGAGTGTACACTTGGATCACCATTTCATCTTCGATACGACCATGTGCCAAGAGACTAGAGAGAGATCCACCTTCACAGTATTCCATGAAAAGATATACTTTGTCGCGATGAACTTCAACGCCAAAATATTGAACAACATTTGGATGGTTCAACATTTCCAAAACCGTCATCTCTTCACTAATCGATGGAATAAGCTTAAGCGATTGGCTATCGTGGAACATGATTTCCTTAACAGCCATGACTCCTCCAGTATCCAAATTCACGGCAGCATAAACTTGACCAAAAGAACCACCACCAATGAATTTACCCTTCTGCCATCTTATCGATACACTTGAGAAGGAAGAAGCTAACAACGTCACAAATTGGTATTCCAGATCTGAAACATCAAGCACCCTACCGATAGAATGTAATTGCTCTTCAACTTCCGTTCTGTACTTCTCAATTTCTTGGATTTCCTTCATAACATCCTCCAGGTAGGCATTCAAGATCAGCTCATCATCAGTCGCGTTCTCAATACCTTGTCTTTGGGAAGACCATTTCAACATTCTCTTCTTTTCAGCTTCATTGGAACGAGCACCCATAATATCAAAATGGGAGATGAGCAAAGACATGCAACGCGCCACCTTGAGCTTGAGTCTGTAAAATTGGTCTTCACTGAGAACTAAAACATTGAACCCCCTTGTCATCTCCATAGCAAATTCTAAAGCAAGAACGCACCATCTGAAGGTTTTACGATCTGTTGGTATACAGTCGTCACAGATGAAACTCACCCATTCGATGGAGAGCTGGATGAGTCGCATAATGACTGCAGATTTTCTCGATGCATCTGACCATTTTACAGAACTCTTACCGAAATCCCGAGAATAAATGAAAAACTGATTAACAAGCTCCTGGTAAACATCATTAGGTATCAACCTTTTGCAATTTTCAATGACAATCTTCGTTGAATCTAACACGGCAAGAGTCATACGGAAAAAGACCTTGTTAATCCTCGTTAGCTCTTGATGCACTTTGGTAAGTGATGAACGCTGTTCAGTCGGTTTCACAATCGAACGCATAGCTTCAACACCGCTGACTAGATCCATAAATCTTTCACGTGCTAATGAAAGGCTGAAGTAAGGTGGCACCTTTGTGATGACCAACAATTGACCTGGTTTCACGTCAGTTATCGGGACGTTTTCTATACTAAGATTGATCATGTCACCTTCCCATACAATGGGTTTCAAAGGACAAAACGCAATGACATAACCAGTGTATGCTTCATTTGTGTCTTCCGTATCCAGTGGGGAATCTACCACAAACAGTTCCGTTCCAAAGTTTTCAAAAGACTCTTGATCCTCGTTATTAAGAGTATGAGCCGATAGTTGTACCATTGATGATCCGCAAGATTCCTGTTCATTATTCATCAACTCAGGACTAGCAAAAAAGTACATTCCTTGCGCTTCCACGGAGCCTGTGTAAACAAGAAAATGGTCAGAGTTTCGTAAAATATCCAATAAAGCTTTTGTACGAGGACCAGAGTTCGAAGATACTTCAAACAGCATCGCATTAGTAAAGCTTCGAGATAATTCACCAGTAAATCTAGCAAGTTTACGGCGGATCTGGCCAAAGTTTTCAGTAGTAGAATTGTACCAGCGAATCAAATCAGATGCGCCTAAAGTTGGCGTGGGTGGGTACTTAACTTGGTGAGTGAGATATGCCAG